ATCAAAGGATCTGATTCCTTCTGATGTTAGTGCTGACATATAATGTGTGCTGACTTAGTTCTGTCTATAACCTCACAGTGGGAGGCGGCCTGCCTCCCTGGGCACCTTTACTCAGTGCACTTTCATTTCGGCTAGGGAGTCTGTCAGGTACGTTGCTGATTGGGGCTGCCATGTAAATAATTCATGGGAGATTTTTAAATGTTTTGGGGCTTGCAAAGGCAAGCTATGCTTGTGTTAGTCTTTTCTTAAAGGATGCAGACTTGAAGAACAGCGGGTAACAGATTTCCAATGACGAGCTCTCAAAAACAGGATAACATCTTCAATGGGTTGAAAATAGGTAACTTGCTATGTTTGATGCCCCTTATATAAAGTGGTATTGGTTTTTTACCAAGGAATAAAAATGCTAAGTCTTCTTTTCCCCCCTTTTTAAGTATGTTTCTATGTGACAATTTAGTATTCTTGTTCTTTGTTTATTTGCTGATCTCGATAAACTATGTCTTTTCCTCCTGGTGGGAGCAGTACTTACGGAAATGACACTGAGATCAGTACGTGGCATAGAACTGAGCATGACAGGGAGACAAGATTGATGGCACAAAAAGTTCCTTCCCTGAAGGAACTCAACATTCAAAGAGGAAGACAAAACTGTCATACAAGGGAAATTGACCAATAATAGAACCAGTTGTACAAGTCAAAGGAAAAACTCTAGTCAACAAGTATTGAGGCGTAAATCAGTGTAGTCTGACCTAGTCAAGGAACAGTCTGGAAGGAGTTGAGATCCCATAGGGAAACTAGTATAACCTGGCAGTTCCCATAGATCTAAGAGAATAATCCATAGTTAGGTGGTCATGGCAGATACTTGCTAGGCAAAAGTCTGTGGAAAAAGAAGAGAGGAAATATGGGTAATGTGGGTTTAGCAGAATATTAGTTGATGCATCATGGAAACAATATAAACAACATGATACTCTCATTTTATTGCTGTATATCAAAGTGTATCACATATATTTGTATTATTACTATTACCTTCTCTCTTTCTCACCTCCATTCCCATTCATTGTTAGATTAAATTGAATAGAAAATTAGTACACTTTTTGTCCTAATAATGTATTACATAGTATAATATAGACATGATTACTGTCTTCTAACATGAACCAAGGTCGGTCTCAGTAAACTGAATGAGAAGCATAATACACAGGTTAAAAATTATCATTTACATAGTATACAAAACTGTGGTTAACGAATTTGCGGATGAGATGTGAGAAAAGCAAGGTTGAGAAATGTCAATATTGGCATTGCCACTTACCCTTTTGGGGATTTAGGACAGTTCTCAAACTTTTTTCACTGTAAGGTACATAAGGAATAACATTCACATGTATGCCAAACTGCCGTGCATATACTCAACCAAACAGTCTTCTTAAATCCTCATTGCTATCTCTAACTTCACAAAATATTGAGGAGTGCTTAGATTAGAACATAGACTCTGGAGCTAACAATCTTCAATTCTGTGGAGTAAATAACATCCGTCACTACTTTGTACATGGCCTTGGAAAGTTACTTAATCTTTCTGCACCTCAGTGGACTTCCTTCTAAAACAGATATAATAATAGTACTTATTTCAGAGGGTTGTTATAAGGATTAACATATATATATATATATATATATATATTCATATTCAACATGTGATAATTGCTACAATCGCCGTGTGTTACTTTAAATTATTATTAGCTTTTCTCTACAAAAAAAAACAAAAACCATGTGGGAATATGAATGTTAACATATTCATTAACATAGAATACTTTTGAATTTCCTTTATTATGTTAAAAAATCTGTAATTGAATAAAACTTTTAAAAATTAGACTATAATACCTTATTGGTTTTTTTTAAAATATGTTTTTATTGATTTTTGAGAGGGGAAGGGAAAGGAAGGGAAAGAGAGAAACATCAATGAGAAACATGAATCAGCTGCCTCCTGCACCCCCTTTACTGGGCATCAGGCCCGAAACCAGGAATCAAACCCACGACCTCTTGGTGCATGGGTTGACACTCAACCACTGAGCAACAGTAGCCAGGCAATACCTTATTGTTTATAACAAATAAATTGACATATCCCTCAACACTCAATGTAATATAAAAATAAAAAACTCATGAGTGGGGAGATGAATTAAAGAAGGCAGAGAGTTTTAAAAGATAGGATAAAACATTTGAGAACTAGGGTGTTGTTGTTTTTTTAATCCTCACCCAAGGATATGTTTAATGACCTGGGGGTGGGGGAGGGAGAGAGAGAGAGAGAGAGAGAGAGAGAGAGAGAGAGAGAGAGGGAGAGAGATTGATTGGTTGCCTTCCATATGCTTCCTGACTAGGGATTGAACCCACAACCTGGGCATGTGCCCTGACTGGGAGTCAAACCTTTTTGTTGTATGGGACAATGTTCCAACCAACTGAGCCACCTGGCCAGGGCAGAACTAGGGTGTGTTTTAAGATAATTCTTACAAGTGGGAAATGAGGTAATTATGGGAAAGAATGAAAACATTTGGGTTTAGAGCAGGATGCAGCCAGAGACTAAAGCACTACATAAATATAAAATACTTTAAAGGAAATACATTTGGATACTCAGCTGGAAGGAGTTTCAACCCTTTAATTACATGATTGATTCTCCTAGCAACCAGCCCCCATCCAGCCCCTATCCTATGTGGGGTTCAAAAATCACCTTATTGTTTTATTTTTAAAGATTTTTAAAAATTTATTTTTAGAGAGGGAGGAAGAGAGAGGGAGAGATAGAAACACATTGATGTGAGAGCAAAACATGGATCTGCTTCCTCCTGCTCACCCCCTACTGGGGATCAAGCGTGCAACTGGGACATGTCCCCTGACCGGGAATGGAACCAGCAATGTTTTGGTACATGGGATCCTCCCAACCAATTGAGCCACACTGGCCAGGGCCAAAAGTCATCTTGTTAACATAACAGGCATTTTTACTGCTTTTATCACTTAGGGAATTCCAAGGGTTTTAAGAGCCAGAAAGGAAGATTTTATTATAAATCAATATCACAGGTAGCTTTGAGGATAAAATGAATGAATGCATAGAAACCACTGAGAACAGTGCGTGGCAGGGTTAAGAGCTATCTGAGCATTAGGGATTTTAATTGTGATGGTTATTATTTATCCAGCTCTTAACCTTATCATCCCAGACTCTGGGCAGTGCTTTGCATGATTCATCTTTTTTTTTTTTTTTTTTTTTTTTTACCTTGTTTGAAACTAGCCCACAGGCTCTAAGCACTGTGTGGCCAGCTTCACTAATACTTTGCCTCCTTTACAACCACCAAAATCAGTGTATGATTCATCTTTTTAACCTGCTAACAATCCTATGAGGTAGCTGCTACCGTTGTTACTGTTTTACAGATGAGGAAACTGAAGCACACAGAGGGTAACTACATTTTACACATTTATTCAGTCAGTGAGGGATCAAGCAGCACATCTAACCAGGTTGGTTTGATTCCAAGCCCGTATTCTTAGTTGCTATGCTATCTAGCTTCTAGGGACCATCTTTCACATATTTTATACCATAAAATACTGTTTTGGTAGGTTTGACTCAATTGTGTCAGTAAAATTCTATATAATTCTAGTTTATCATCATTTATCATTCAAATAACATGATAGGTTAGCTAGTGGTTAACATATGACATGTTCGTGTTTTTTAAAAGCTAGCGGCATTATTGCTTCTATTATACATCCTTCAAAGAATTGGGACAGATAAGGACAAAAACACCCAGGTCATCTGTTTATCACAATCAATATCAATGTTGTACTCTTTTGAGTTGAATATTAATTCTGTTGAATAGAAAAATAAAACGCAAATAAAATGTCAAAGGGAAAAAAAACAACAATTAAAATAATTACTGTTAAACTGAAATACAGGCCCTGGCTGGATAGCTCAGTTGGTTTAGTGTCATCCTGATATGCCAAGATTGTGGGTTCCAGGTCAGGGCACATACAAGAAGCAAATAATGTATGCATGAATGAGTAGAAAAACAAATCAGTCTCTCTCTCTCTTCTCCTCCCCTCTCTCAAAATCAATAACTAAAAATAAAATGAAATACATGTTAGCAAATTGTTAAATATCACCTGAGGGTAATATAAAATTATACAACTGAAGCCCAGAGAGGCTAAGTGACAAGATAGAAGAGAAAGAGCCAGGTAGCTAGGGAAGGGGAGCTTGAACCCTAATTTTTTTACTCCAGTCCTGTACTCATTTATACTGTTACACAGTCATGTATATACACATTCATATGGATACATGTTTATATATATGTTATCTCTACATATGTTTATACACATCTATATATCTAAAAGCCTAAGTGACCGTCCGACTGGTAGCTATGACGTGCACTGACCACCAGGGGGCAGATGCTCAGATGCATCACCCCAGAATTGCCCTCTCGCAATCAGGGACCCCTTGGGGGATGTTGGAGAGCTGGTTTCAGCCTGATCCCCCCAGGCCAGACTGAGGGACCCCACTCATGCACGAATCCATGCACCGGGCCTCTAGTGTTTCTACTATAAAATCAAAGATATTAAAATGATAAATTTGGCATGAAAAACAAAGTATTAAATAAGACTGTTTTTAGAACTTACATTTCTCAATACAAGTACTAGTTAACCCATTTGGTAAGGCCAGAATGTAGTCTAGTTTTCATATTTATGCTGCCCTGCTTATAATAAAAAATCCTTAATGACCCATTAACATCACAAAAGTGTTTCTCTGGGAAGAATTTATTATCTAATTTATTAATTAGATAATTAATATTTATTATAAATTGGGAATGGGATACAGTGTTTCTTTTTATGAAAAAATATATATCCAAAATTATTTGGAAATCTATATGCTGATAAAATTCAATCTTTAATTATATGGCAATGTCTTTCCAAGAACACTAAGTATGCAACATGTATAATCAAGTACTTGAGAACTAAATTTACTTCTTCTCCTACTTCTTTTTTCACAGATATGAGGATGAAGGTCATGCTGGGCAAGCTGAACCAACTCCCCCACCAGTCAGTAAACGGGGTGTCCAGAAGGAAGGTTAGCCGCCGTGCTGTCCGAGAAGAGGGTGGTGGCCGAGAAGAGGCCGCAGTATCTGCTCCCAGTATGACCACTGTCACATCCCCTGGGCACACCGGTGCTCCAGGCTCTCCTGCTCAGCAGATGTGCATGCAGGAGGCTGGAAACTGGAAAGAGGCCCAAGAGCAGTTGCTGAGATACCAGCTGGCAGGTCAAGATCAGCTGCTCCTGCTCTGTCCAGACCTCAGACACGGGAGGCAGCAGATGCAGGAACAGAGCCGGCTGGCCAAGGACGGTGGCAGCTCAGGGCGTTCCCAAGAGAAGAAAGCATCCCGTGGTGCCAGTGAGGCACTCTGCCTTCACCCAGTCCCTCCAGAAGGTATCCGGGAACAGCTGTGACCCAGGGGCAGCGTGGGCCTTTGGGCGGAAAGTCGGAATGTTCAACGTATTTCTTGAAAATGAACAGGGGAGAGGAGGCCTGACTTATATGGACACTAAGAAGGAAGAACATGGACTCTAAAATCTCTTTTTTTTCAACTTTGAAATGGGAGATAGTCATATAAATGCTTGAAGATTGAAATAATGCTAGATATGTCTTTTGTATTTATTATGGATCTTAGTCCAATGTCAGTCAAATAATAGGTTCCCAAGTATTTGTTAATATTGTACTTGTTAATTGAAGCCTGATTTTGCCATCTTAATAATGATATAACACTTACTTATACCAGTAGGGGTTGTTATTAAGCTTCCTTTAGGAGGACCACCCCCAATTCTTTGAGCTTCTCTTATTAAGGCGTCATGAGAAGATCTGGTCTGCTATGATTATTTCTGCAGTGTTACAGTAAGATATTTTTTTTTGTCTTATAGGAACATTTGAATGATAAGTGATCTATCAGAACTTACCTTTTAACTAGAACACAACTTCCTGGATTTTTCCAAGCTGATTTCATTTTATGCTTAAATGCAATCATTATTGGGAGCTCACAATAGAGCAAACATATCGAGTTTGCACCTCATGAGTACTGATACATGAAAACTGATATTCTCATGGGATTTGCTGAGATTTTTTAACTAAATATAAACATACAAGAAAAGCAAGTTTGGGAAAATAAATTGTCTATAGGTCAAAGTTATTTCTAGATAGTTCTTTGTAGTAGTAACTGGGTAAAATTACAACTGGAATTAAAAAACAAAACAAACAAACAAAAAGAACCTGTGTGTTGGGAGACCAGGATAACCAAGAGGCCAAATGGATTATCAGTTAACTCATTTATCAGAGAACTGCTTTGGCAGAAAAGTACTTCATAGAGCTGTCTGATAAGGTGGGGAAGAGATTACATGTGCAGCCTTTCTGGGCTATGCTAGAGGCTCTAATGGAGGTCAGAGTAGAGGGTCAACTGGTGTTAAGCTGGGTGAGGATGCAATGGCAATGTCACCTAATTCATACATTTCCACAGGCCCATCAGTGTTCATACTAAAGGGTACTTTAAGGAGCGTGACTGTGTCATTGGCTCTGGATCCAGAAGGCCCTGTGCTCCGAAGGAGTAAAGCAAAGACAGCAGAGGGGAACAGGATTTTCAGAAAGAACTTCCTCTCACCTTTTCCCTAAGTACAAAACCAGGATTTTCCCACCTCCAGGAGGTTAAAGGGCTGTCCTGTGTTTGAATTAGAACAGAGGAAGGAGACAGATTTTTCTATGGCAGAATTTTAAATAAGGATGCCCTGGAATTAGCCCCATAGAAAATACTGGCAAAAAGTCATCATCACAGGGCGTCAATGGGAAAATATGTGTCACCTTGCCATGGGTTGGCAGAGCTTTCTCGGCCTCTTTGTCCATTCTTCTGGTGTCTTGTGACATCTCAAACCTTCAAGCCGCCCCTAAAGGAGACGGGCAGCCTTCTCCGTGGCACAGTGTTGAATACAGAGGGAGGAACAATTAGACGTACTTCAAGAGATCTTAATCCAGACACGCTGTGTTTAAGGAGGGCATGGATGGGCAATGTGTCCTACAGACATTAACTGTGGAGGCACAAATTAGCTGCCTGAAGGGTAAATCCTTTTCAGATGTATGTTTTTTGGGCACTAACAGTATCTAAAAAATATAACAACAGAAACAATAACGTGAATGGCTTAGGTGGACTATGCCTTCTCTAGTTTAATTCATCCCTGCTATCACCTGTTCTTTATCTCATTTTTGTAGTCTGAGTAATTTTTTTTGCAATCTTTAGTCCTCAAAGAGCTGTGATCTTTTTGTACAAAAACATTTTAGAAGGTAAGGATTTTGAGGATTATACAATGATAGGAGTCTTAGCACTACCTACTGAGGTCTGTCTACACATTCTCCCTTTCACTCTGGTGACTTCTTTCACCATCTCAAATTCCAGCCTAGATTTCTTTCCTGAGCTCTGTGCCATGTACTTAGCTGCCACTGAGAACTATCCGCTCGGATGCCCGCAGCCACTATGCCTTGACATGGCCTCACAGCCCCCTCCTCCTCAAGCTTTCCCTAACGCAATACACCATGTCCCTGCACTCAGACCAGACATCTAGAAATGAACCATGATTCCATGTTCTATCTTACCCTTCCCAAAGGGTCAGCTACCAGCTCTGTTATTTCTATTCCTTCTTTACTCTTCTCCCAATTTTTACTATTGTCTTATCTATCCTCCCTGTGCCAAAAGACTCACCTTTCTGGAAGGCAAGTTTGATTCTATCCTTCTGTTTAGGAATAATTATAATTAGCCTATTAATTCTACCCCCAGCAAACCCCAGGATCCCTGTGGTCAGAATGGATTCTTTGGCTCGGAACAACAGCCACAAACATCCAGAGTAACTTGCAGGATTCTCGAACGGGGCATGGAATTTCAGAGTCTGGCCAGAATTGCCCAAACCATAGTTAAGCCCATCTTCTTTTTCCTTCTCAAAAAATGAGAGAATTGTGTAAAGGCTGGAAACAAATAGAACAGCTCATAATTCATTCATGTCTAGAAATGAGCTGATTAGATAAAGCATAACTATAGGTTGGCCAATACTAAACTTATTAAGACCATTAATATGGGTAACCCAGCAAGTATTTTAAAGCAGTGACAACCCTTTATTCAAATAAATAATTGAAAAATATCTTGTTCCTGTGTTATTCCAAAGAATCTATTTCTGCCTCCCATTTCTGATTTTCTATATATGGTGAACTCCTTTCCCCCAAGATTCTGAACAAACTAAAATTCTAGATAGTTTAAAAGAATTGTAAATGTTTATGGGTATTAAATTGAGAGAAGAATGAAGGAAATTAGGGTAGTTCCCACCATGTCTTGGGTTTTGGGGATTTTGTTCAGGGAAAGTACCAGGCTGTGACCAAACTTCATATCTCAGGGTAAGAGACTGAGCCAATCTGACCAGGGTTATGTCCTGCAGCAAACTTGCCCATATTATTGCCCAGTGAGGCTACTAAATACCAAAAGGCCTTTAGCTCCCTCAGGACCCAGTCCTTTCCATTATTACCTAGTTGAATCACTCCCTTCTGTCTTGCTGTCTGACTCCCCAAGTATAAAATTACTATACATTGAAATGTATGCAAACTCTATGCAAAAATGAGTATGGGGAAATTTAATGTAAATTACATGAAAATATTCAATCAAGGTTCTATAAAATTGTATATGTCAATAACAGTAAAGGATTTTAATTAATTCTGTCTTTAAAACTCATGCATTTATTCCATATTTTGTTTCTGGAATTTATAATGTATCAGTGTCAACTTTGAAAGAGCTATAAGCAAAAGGAATTATACTACTGAGCATAGAAGAGTTGATTTCAACATACACTATAGCACTGTGACTAATTACATATATATTTGAGAGACAAGTCACATTTCCAGAATGTAATTTGTTAAAAAATAAATAAAACGTTTCTATAAAGTTGAATGAGATTTAAGTGGTAAAATACAGACTTGCCTATTTACAAATATTCTTCTGGCTTTGTTATTTATAGTCCTCAATAAAGACCAGGATTTCTTTGCTTGGAACAATTCAAGAAAAAGTAGATTCTGCCCATCAATCTGGTCTGCTTTGAGATAGAAGATTCATTTAATGTAGTTGTAGGACTTCCTGAAATCTAATTGGATTTGAAAGATTGATTCTTTGATTCTACACAGGCCCCTTCAGATCTCTTCGCAGTTTTCCACTCCCATTCCAACAAAATTATTTGAAAGACTTTTATTCACGCATTTCATTACTTGCTCAGTGTTCATTCACTGCACCATGGACTTCCCTCTGCCTTCCAACCCTTCCACGGAACAGAGACCTCTCTTATGGCAATCACCAGGAACTTCCATTTTTCCAATTCTCAAGAATGATTCTCTATCCTCATCTTACATGACATCTTGGGAGCATCTAGTCCAGACTTTCTCTTCCTCTTTTTGGACCACTTTTTTCTCTAGGCTTTTGTGATTACTTCTCTCCTTGATTTCCTGTTATGTCACTGGATACACCTTCCAAATAAGTGGTAAAGAAGCATATTTTAGCTTCTCACCCCAAATCTTGTGAGACCCTAAGAAAAAGATCCAGTTGAGCCTTCAAAGCCTTTGACCTAGAGAACTGAAAGCTAATGAACAGGTGGTGTTTTGTTGTTGTTTTTACTAATTTATTGAGTCCCTACTGACATGTAAAAAGCTGTACATAGTTAATGCATAAGTATACACCCATGAAATTATCACTACCATGGAGACAGTAAACATATCTATCATCTCCAAAAGTTTCCTCCCACCTCTTCCTCCTCCTCCTCACTATTATTATTATTAGTAGTAGTAGTAGTAATAGTAGTAGTGATAGTAAGAATACCTAACATAAGATTGACCCTCTTAGAAAATTTTAAGTGTACAATACATTATTGTCTGTATAGGCACTATTCTATATAGTAGACTTTCAGAACTTGTAAAACTGAAACTTTGTAAACTTTTTCCATCATCTCTCCATTTTTTTTCTCTCCACCTTCCCCCACACTCTCTAGCAATCTCCATTCTTACTTTCCGTTTCTATGATTATGACTATTTTAGATTCCACATATAAGTGAGATCATACATAATCTGTCTATGTTTGGCTTATTTCACTTAATGTTCTCCAGGTCCATCCTTATTGTTGAAAATGACAGAATTTCCTGCCTTTTTAAGATTAAATAATATTCCACTATGGGTATTGTTTTAAGTTACTGGGTTTCTGATAATTTGTCATTCAGCAATTAGTTTGTCATTAGCAAACTAATACAGACACTATGGTTTCACACGCGCACACACAAATGATGGTGGGGAGCTTTGTCCTCTGCTCTTGTCCTTGCTTCTGCCTTTGGGCATGTTTCACTTCTAGTCCTTCAGAAGCTTAAACTCCTCATTCAATCATAGGTTCCCCTTGGCATCACAACTGCCCCCTGTGGGCAGCTGGGTCATGTCAGTTCCCAGGTGCCTTCCCAGGTTTCCCACCTGCACACTCACTCCTTCCGGTGTGGAGGCGGCCCGCTCTCAGGTGATCCAGCCACAGTGGATTAAATCCTGACTGTTCTTTTTCTCTCTCTCTCTCTTCTGTCTTTCCATTTCCCAGTCCGTTTCCCCAGCTAGATTCTACAAAAGTTATTTGCAGCATCCCCATCAGTTCCATGAGTGACAGGAGACTAGTGTCAAGTGAGAAAATGAAATGTAAATTTTATTAAACACCCCCTCTCATCTCTGCGTATCAATCCAGATTCCAGCCGAACACAGCAAATCAAATCCTGTCTATGCCAGGCCTCGGGGCACACGGAAAATCATTTCTCCTTACTACCATTCCCTTCTAGTAAAATATTTTTCTGTTTGGTAAATGAAAATTTCAAATGCAAACCCTGTTTTAATCCCAGGGAAAAGTATATCTTCCAAATGAACATCTGAAGGAGGGAGCAGGAAAGAGAGGAGGGAAGACTCCGGGGCCAAGGAGAAGTAGAAGGGGGCTGAGCAAACAGAATCGTATTTAGCTGTGTCATGTGCCGGCCTGCCTGGTGGCTGTGCAGGGATGCATATCCACAGAATAAACGGAGACATTCTTTGAAAGCTTGGACCATCAGGACATTTATCTATATGCTGTCCTGTCTAGAGATAATACATTTCTTAAATCTGATACATTGCCTTGAAATAGCATTAGAAATATAGATGCTTCATTCTGGGTGTGAATATGGGGACAACTACTGACTTGTATGAGGTTCTGAAGGGGGGGTGTCTATGTGCACAGAACATCTTCATTAGGGTCTTTAAAAGCATGATTAACTTAAAAATTTACAAAGCACACTTTGGCCCTAGCTGGTTTGGCTCAGTGGGTAGAGCGTTGGCCTGCACACTGAAAGGTCCTGGGTTTGATTCCTGTCAAGGGCACATGCCTGGATTGTGGGCTCCATCCCCGGTAAGGGGCATGCAGGAGGCAGCCAGTCAATGATTCCCTCTCATCATTGATGTTTCTATCTCTCCCTCTTCCTTCCTCTCCGAAATCAATAAAAATATATTTAAAGTAAATAAATAAAAAGCACATTTTTTACGTTAAGGCAAAAATAGAACAAATTAAATTTTTAGCCAATACTGAACAGTAAAAATAACATTACTACTTAAAATATACACGACATTTTTCCATATTCCACTTAAAATATTTAAATAAAAACTGTAAATACGGCTTTATGCTTAAAAAGAATATAATTTATTTAATCTACATTTTTTAATTTGCTCATTTTAAGTGGGCAAAACCAGTTTTGAAATGGCAGCTTGTCAGGAATCTATTTGTGTTTAGACCACCTGCCCTGATTTGTCTGAGACTGGGGAGTTGCCTGGGATTTGGGACTTCAGTGTCCAACCCAGGAAGTCCCTGAAAGTTCTAGTCAAATGAGAAGCATTAGTCACCCTAACATATTACCATTGTAAGTAATATAAAATAGCAATTCCTCATACCCCAATAATTGTCAGTATTGTAGACTTTATTTTTGGACAATGTTCTTGAGCTGAATGAACTTATAGCTATATCTGGATGTGATCTCCTTGGTTTGGTCAACTTGGCTAACAGAGTTCAGGCTTCCAAAATTTGTCAGGGCACAACCCAAGTATTAGTATTGCTATCTGAGAAAATGGCATTCTTACTCTCTCCTTTCCTTGACTTGTGGTTAAGCTTAAAAAACATTCTTCTTGCCATGGCCTGGTGGCTCAGTTAGTTAGTTGTACTAGGGGCAAAAATAGAATATCAGGGACTAGCTATGGTTATGGGAAACGTTAATCATACTCTGTTAACTGTTATTGCCTTGTTCTGGTTAAAGAAAGGACATCCTAACCTGGCTGGGAGTTGTATGCTCCTGAGACCTGGGAGTCAACCTTGGAATGCAGTCCATTCTCATTCAAGAATTGCCTATTATCATGGAAAGATTAACAACTTGTTGCCCAAACAATGGAGTCCCACTCCAGCCTGCATAGCCTACGTCCTCATGCCTGTTAGCCCTACTTCCCCAGGTAATCTTTGTTTTACCCTATGTAAGCAGTTGGCTTATGGGAGGTGGCTGACCTGCTGCTCTCCCATACTGCCGGCGGTATTGGAATAAATGCTCACATATGATTCAACCCTGTCTCTGCTTCATTGGCTTAAGTAGTGACAGGCTGCCCAGACCCATTGGAGCATCTTCCTGTGCACCAAAAAGGTTGTGGGTTTGATTCCAGGTCAGTAGACATACCTAGGTTGTGGGTTTGATCCCTGATTGGGGCGCATATGGGAGGCAAACTGATCAGTGATTCTCTCTCATATCTATGTTTCTCTCTTTATCTCTGTCTCTGTCTCTCTCTCTCTCAAATCAATAAGCATATCCTCAGGTAAGGATTTAAAAAAATAAAAAGGACAATAAAGTCCCTAAACTATTGACAAAAGAGAAATAATTAAATCAAGATTGGGACATCCATATCGTTAAAAGTTTTGATTCATTAAAAATTATGTTGACAAATGATAATTGCATAAGAAATCCTTAGTTTTCAGTATTAAGTTAAACATATAGTATGCAAATAGACTACTGTCTCACACCAATGTGTGTGCATATATTTGTGTCCATATTTATATATGTGTTAAAAGAGTTATCTCTGAAAGATGGTTTTGTTTTATTTTTCATTGTCTTCTTTGTTTTTGTTTTATTCAGACTTTCAACAATTAACAAGTTACCTTTAATCAAATAAAAATATAGTAAGTTCTGCTTAAAAAAGGATGGGCCCTGGCCAGTGTTCTCAGTGGTTAGAGTGTCGGCCCACCCAAGGAAGAGTCTGGGATTCAGTTCCCAGTCAAGGGCACCTACTTGGTTGCAAGTTTGATCCCCACCCCAGTCAGGACTTTCAGGAGACAGCCAATGGATGTGTCTCTGTCACATTGATATTTCTCTCTCTTTCTCTTTCTCTCTTCCCCTACCTCCTTCCCTTCCAATCTCTCTGAAAATCAATGGGAAAAAATATCTTCGGGTGAAGATTAACACACACACATATGCACGCATGCGCAAACACACACACACAAAATAGAGGATGAGAGACCACAGCCTCTGTAATGATAAACAGTGCCAACTGTGCAAATGCCCATTGGTGCAAATTCACTGAGATGTTTCCTTCTTGCCCCACTGAGGGAGAGATAGCTGAGGAGAACTGAGCAGAATCCACAGCCTGGAGGAGTCGTGGAGAACATGCTAACCATGAGGCCATGGAACCCAAGGCCCCTTGGGGGGCCTCTCTTACTTCCTGCTTCTATTATTTTTTGCTGTTGTTTGTTTTGTTTTTAAGATTTTTTTTAATTGATTTTTTGAGAGAGGAAGGGAGATGGAGAGAAAGAGAGAAACACCAATGTAGAGTGAGACACTGACTGGCTGCCTCCTGCAAGCCCAACACTGGGAATCTAGGCCTCAACCTGGGCATGTGCACTGACTGAGAATCAAACCGCCACCATTTCGGTGCCCAGGAGGATGCCTAACCAACTGACCCACACTGGCCAGACCATTCCTGTGTTTATTCTTCACCATCGTCACCCTTGTCCAAAATTTGGATGAATGTAGTCTGCTCATTGCAGTACAACAGAGTTTTCCCCACCAGACCCAACAGAGGAAACGCTATTCTTATTACGCTACTCCTTGCAGGAGGCTGGCTAAGAAGGGATGGAGGAAGCGTGCGATAATGTGCAGCTGGCAGGATGGAAGTGGTAATAAACACGAGCGTTGACTAGACTCAATATTAGTGATGGTGCTGGGGAGCCGTCCTGGCTTTGGGCTGCCTGAAGGCAGTGGTGATCCCTTGCTTGTCCTATCTGTCAGTCTATTTGATCTCCAAATGAATTGCATTTGATAACAGCTATATAAATGCAGAACCGATCCGCTGAGCCTTCTTAAATGAGACTCCTCGCTTTCATCTCCCAGTCATTTCAAAAAGCATATAGACTTGTTAGAGGTTTTAATGCAATAATTTATGTTTTATCTTGCCGTGTTCGAGGCAGCATTTATTTAGCACTAAATTCTTCCCAAGCCTCTATGTGAGGGGAGAAAACATTTGCACACACAGCAATTAGGATTTCTTTTTTAAAAAAATAAAGACATTCAATAATACACTTTTCTTCTGCTTTATGATGTTTAGGAAAGACAAAGTTTATTTTAAGGAAGGAGGGAGGGAACAGAAAAAGTGACCATACAAAACACTTTCATTATCACACTCTTGACAAAGTTATAGGGAACCAGAAAGGAACAATAGCACTTCCCAAAATCTATAAAACAAATCCTTAAGTTCCCCCACCCAAAGAAAAAGTGACTATACAAAACACTTTCATTATCACACTCTTGACAAAGTTATAGGGAACCAGAAAGGAACAATAGGACTTCCCAAAATCTATAAAACAAATCCTTAAGTTCCCCCACCCAAAGAAAAAGAAATCACAATTTCTGTTAAAACAAAGGAAGACAAGTTCTCTTATGGTTTTTCTCATGTTTGCATTATCTATAAGAAAACAGCCTACCCATTTTTCTCTTGCCTTTCTTTCCTTATACCTCACTTCCTAATCTCTTTTCACTCTCACCCCTTCCTCATTGTATGAATGACGCAAACTCTCTTCATCGCGTAGGTGGAGCATCATTTATAACACACACAACCTTTAGTAAGAAGCTTTGCTCATTTAGCATGTGTATGCAATAAGTAAGCTTATAGAAAGGGAGATATTTAGTGGCAAAGACACAACCTATTGCAACCAGAAGGAAGTAGAGCTTGATTTCTCTTTCGTGAAAGGATCTCTCACTTTATAAAATGTTATAAGAAGCACAATGCAAATTGTACGTGTGTGTGGAAATCAATCAGCTAAAAAAAATTGTGACAACTTGCTATTTTAAATTATGGTTTTCAAATGAAAAAAATATGATTTTGAATAGAATATATAATCAGTCCAAATCTGAATTTTTTCATTGATCACATTCAGTTAAATTTTGGTCATTCTCCCATGAAAAACCATAGCATTTTATTCAATTCTTGTACAGTAAGGCAACCTGCAATTATACCTTCTTAAAAGTGATATATAATAGAGCAGCAAAAAGAAAACTACATGGTATGAAGTGCTTGACATCTCCAACAGATGAAATTCATTTTTAAAAATATACTCTTGTTGATTTTAGAGAGAGAGGAAGGGAAAGGGCTAGAGAGATAGAAACACCGATGAGAGAGAAACATCCATCAGCTGCCTCCTGCACGCCCCCCACTGGGAATCGAGTCCTCAGCCTCTTGGGTCATGGGTCAACACTCAACTACTGCGCCACACCAGCTGGGCAAAATTCATTTTTTGATAGGTCAGCAGCCTCATAATTCAAAAGTATTAAAACTAACTGGAAACGGGTTAAGACTTTTTTCCTGTGTGGTAGGAAAACACATTCATATCCGTATAGTGCTCTTACTCTGTAATTTCCTTTTGAATCACAAGAAAAGATAAAAGAAGCTTTTTAAATGCTTGAACATGTGCTTAAAGCAGCCTCTATTGTAGTCCCAGCACTGAGTGCAACAGGTTACAGCTGCTGCTGCTAATTAGATGGGCCCTGTGAATTTCTTTTCTTGTTACTCTTTCTAAATGTTTCTATAAATACTGAAAAACTTATCAAGTTTCTTAAAACAGATATGCAGGTTAAAGAAAAATTGACAGTTTATAGTTTTCTTGAAAACAAAAAGCCTTGAATTAATCATTGTAAAAATAATAATTATATTTTCCAGCCTGGCCAGTGTGGCTCAGTAGGTCAGCATTGACCTATGAACCAGGAGGTCATGGTTCAATTCCTGGTCAGGGCACATGCCAGGTTGTGAACTCAATCCCCAGTGTGGGGTGTGCAGGAGGC